AGGGGACAGGAAAGCTGGTGATAGGGAACCCAAGGTTGAGTAAGGACAGTGTTGACATGTCGTGGGGTTGTTAACCATTGTCATAGGGCAATATGTGTACTATTTAATGAGAAACTAGTTTCTTCTGTAAACCTTCGTCTGAAGTACAACAACAAAAGAATTATCTGTGAGATCAAATTGACAACAGCAACGCAAAAGGTTTGATGGGAAGCCTAGGGGACAGTGAGTTGAAAGCAATTAATGATGGAATCATTTGGAAAAGGATGGTGAGAATAGCAGCACAACTGGAAGAATGTGATCAGCGTCACTGAACTGTACATGTAGAAATTTTTGAAATGGTGTAACTGTGGCTATGTATATTTTCACCAAAAAAAAAGGTCCTCCAAGGTCGAGAAGGGAGAGTGTTGACATGTCATGGGGTTGTTAACCAATGTCATAAAACAATATGTGTACTGACTGTTTAATGAAAAACTATTGGTTCTGTAAACCTTCACCTTAAGTACAATAAAAAAAAATTAAAAAAAAAAAAAAAAAAAAAGATTCATGGCTCTGGTTGTTACTGATAAAAGCCGTTATTATTTAAGGATGTGAATTTTTGTACCGTAAAGTTGAAAACATGCCAGGACAGTATAATCTAGTAAGCCTTTTTGCTAGAGTTGGGCGCTAAACATCTGACACATTTTATGATACTTACTCTTCAATGGAGAAGCCACTCAGTTGCGCCCAGATCACTGCCAATGTTAATACTTGCCTGTACTTGTGAATGGGCAAGCAGGATCTAGGACCACCTAATTAAACCAAACCAAACCGAACCTCTGTGCTGAAGCTATCCCACTGTGTCAATACCAAGGCCAGCAGGGAGTAGAACAATAGGGCTGTCATACACAGCTGGTGGGAGCATATTTGGTACAATTCAACCGGTAAAGTTAAATGTCTGCACACCTTTGACGGAGCAACTCCACTCTTAGGCCTAGGGAGACTCGTGCACACGCACAGGGCACATGTTCAAGAATATTCCTAGCTACGCTATTTGTAATGACAGAAGTTGGAAACACCCACATGTCCATGAGCAGTCAAATGGGTAAATAAACTGACATGTACCATTGGGAAATAGAGTGAAAACGAATGAACTCTAGCTCATTTATCAACATGGATGAATTTCAAAACATTATGCTGAGTGAGTGACACAAATCACAGAAAAAAAAAAATCATCCAGTTTTGTTTATATACAATTCATATATAATAATTGGATGAAAAGCTACCCTATGTCACCTGGGCACATGCCTGGATTACTTAGAGAAGGCTCAGGAAGTGGCGCACATCTGATCTTTGCCTCCTGCCCTTATCTGAGGAACTTCTGAGCCCTTCTCTGAGTGACTCAGAGCCCTCTGTGAAATGACACAGTCCGTTCTGAGGCAAGTCCAGTCTCCATTAGTTATCACCACTCCCTGCCCGAGATCCTTTCTCCCTGTACAACAGTATGATTGGAAACATTCCAAGGCATGTCTGCTTGCTTATACAGATAAGGCTAAGGAGTAGGCTAGGGATGAGAGAAATCACGTAGAGGGGGAATCCTATAAATTTACTATCCCCTCCACTGGGACTCTCTCTTGAAGTTTAGCTGTCAGTCTCACTGCTCAGTCTTTAACGGAGGTCTTTTCGGCATGAAGAAATCCTCAGAGGGAACCCCTACACTGATAACCCCAGCAGTAATCCAGTAATCCTCTCCTCTAGTCTAAAGCTCCAGTTAGATTCCTCCAGTCTGCGGGAATCTGGCAAAGCTTTCAGGGTAATCAAGGCTCTAGACTCTGTTACGTTCAATAGGCCTCTCAGGAGAATCTCGATATACTTAGGTCTAACGTAGGCCTCAACGTGTCGATTATATTGTTTTAAACTCTCACATCGCTATTGCAATACTCTCTTGAAAACCACTTGCGAGTTCATTGTAGGTGATGATAAAGCAGACAGTGTGTAGAATGTGTGGCTTATTCTGGCTTGCACAATCTATTACTAGTGTAGCATTTACTCCACGAACTCTGTGACCTGGGATTCCGGTACTTTCTGAGTCCTGCAGGCCATTCAGAGGCTGTCATGAATACTGTGATCCTCCCTCTAATCCCTGAGTCCTAGAAGGGCCTGAGTGCCTTCAGGGAGGGTCACCACCTTAGGACCCGTTTAGGACAGGACGGGTGCCACAGGTGGATTTCAGTTTCTGGCCGGCGTCTCTGGCCTTTCCCCCACAAATATAAAATGAAAAATAGGCAACAGTAAAATTTTTGCTTTTCTAGATATGGAGAAGCTTTAAAGAAACAGACTTAATAATTTCAGGAAGTTACATGGCTTAAAGATGAACCAGAAGTGTTTTACCAGTGGCAGGATCAGCCTTGGTGGTCTTTAACTTGTGAGTCCCGAGCACAGCTGGGCCTTTTGGGGTACTCCCAGACACGAGGACATGTGGAGACTTTCTGGCTGGAGTCTTGGTCAGTGAGCGTTTCTGCTCATTATCTTCAGTAGCAGCTGAAAACCTAAACAGGACAGCAGAGTATAAGACATGAGGACTTGTGTGAAGCTTACAAACAACACCTCCTGACCATCACCAAGCAGCGAAAGGGCCTCAATAAATACTGTTACATGAATGAACCTCTTTTACAGAACACATGTGTTCTTAAAACTCAAATGCTAAAACAAATCCTTTATCAACTTGTTATTTGTGAAATACAATCTTGTATTTTCTGTTCTTCTCGACTCGGCTAGTGACAGTACAGAGCTCGCCACATGTTATAGTTCAGTAAATGCTCCAAGAAGCTCCCCTTCCTTCTCCTCCTTCCCCAGGTGATGGCCAGTCAAAGGGAATGGATGCTGACTGCTATGTCAGCTGACTGATGGGAACAGATCTTACACCCGCCTAAAAGAGTGTCATTCATGTGAGTGGAAAACATGGTTGTCATAAACGTATTTATTTCTTTGATTCTCTGACATACATGTTCCCTGTTTTAACATCTCTGAAATCGGGATGTGTTTTGCATTTGGTAGCACATCATAGTTAACTGGCAATGTTTTCCTTGGTGGTTCATAAACTAACAGTGAGTCTTCAATCAATGATGTCTTATATTCAATGAAAATCCTGTTATGCCAAATATAAATATACATAAGGTTGGTGGTGGGATTAATAGAAAGGAACTTCTGGATTTAAAACTAAAGATTTGATGGTGATCCTGAATCAATGCTCGCAAATTCTTACTAACGACCCTGAGAGTTCAGAAAATTAGAGGTGTTAGAAGTGCCTCAAACGCCAGTCTGCTCTGGACTTCGCAGTGAAGCAAGGATTAGCCCCTTGAACACTGTGTTCTTAAGTAGGATTCGATAAAATCAGACTTGCCACTTATGGGTGCTTCCTATCCTAAGCTAACTCAGTACAGAAATCCGAAGTTGAAGGGCATTTTTCAGTTTTAAAAATGATGTTCGATGATAGCACGTGGTGGGGAAGTGTCACCATGTGCCAGCTCTATCAGAGGCTTCAAACGTCCTCAAAAAGGAGAGAACCAAAGTTTGGACATTAGAAGAAAGGCGCTGAAGATGGTCATCTGCGGAGACAGTCCCAGCTGAGGGCTGTCCTGATGTCAGGAAAGCCACAGCAAAGGAGGCAGACGGGATCGAGGGGGCGTGCGGCAACTGTGACATCGTAAGGCTGTACTTTAGGAAGAGTCAGCTTTTCAGTTCACGGAATTGAGAGATTTTCTGTAGAACTTTAGCTTCAATTCTGTGTTTAAGTCATTGAAAACAATTTCTTTTTAGACATCTTTGCAGATACACACTAATAAAATGAAGAAAATCCATATATATCTTATTTCCTGTCTTTATTTATTAATCAGGTGTGTCCTTAGAGATATCGGGTAAAACAAGAAAACCAAACACAAATTTAAAGGAAAAAGATGAAAATTGATGAAAACTGTTCACCCATCTCTGTGTTTCTGATCCTCTTTTTCACCATCATTAAAACTTCTTTGATGGAATCTACCTGAAACGTCTTAGGCGCACTAAGCTTTGAACTCTCGCCCGATTACATTTGGAGCAACTTCTTTACCTGACATTCATTTTTGTCGCTGACAGCGCAAAGGGCTTGACTGACCGCCTGGGACCCAAGATGCTCCGACCTGCGGTGCCCTGAGACCCGCGCTGCGAGCGCCCGTGGCCAGGAGCGCGAGCCCCAGAGGACCTTCCTCTGACGGGAACCGGAGTCACCGTCGGAGCCGTGACCGCTCCCTTGTGGAAGGGCTGCTTCTGAGGAGGGAAAAACAGCGTTTTTAAGCTTGTCCTCTCACACAGTATTGTCTGCTCAGCAAAGTGCAGAGGAGAGCCCCCGTTTGTCCCCTGCTTCCTCCCCACTTTTAACTCCGCCTATCACCCCTTCCTTCCCCACCACCTCATCCTGTAGCTGCACCCGCCACTGTGTTGCCATGGCGATCCCCACAGAAAGTTCCCGCTGTGCTGCTACGAGAAAGCCTTTCCCAGCTGCCCTGCACCCAGGCATTTTCTAACTAGGGAAAGGACCGAGCAGAACTAGAGAAAGGATGGAGCAGAAAGGGCGAACTCATACCCAGGCACCCAGGCATTTTCTAACTAGGGAAAGGATTGAGCAGAAGGGAAACTATTTTAAACCCGAAAAGGAGAATAACTAGATTGTCTTGGAAACATGGTACCTTTGATAGCGTGATATGCAGTTTATTCAATACAAACTATTATACAATTAGTATGTGAAATCTACAAATAATTCCACCCCTCACCCCCAAATAATAACATTTTAAAGTTGTTCCAAGAAACTAAAGAAAGGAAAAAATGGAGGGAGGGGAAAAAAGGAAGGAAGGAAATACTCCTTTGGAAATTGCTGTGAAGCGTTCCACTTAGGTTCTCTTTTTTGGTTACTGTCTGTGCACAAAGAGAAATGGAATGTTTTCCTACCATTAGTCTAAGATCTGTTGCAAACAGAAGGAAGATAACTTAACTGACAACAAAGATAGAACTATTGAAAATGACAGTGTAAAGATACAGACAGGACAGAGAGAGCCTTCTCCTCGAGCAGGATTTCTAGCCTCCTAAACTGTGAGAAAATAAGTTTCTGTTTGCAAAAGCCACTCACTGTGGTATTTCTCTTGTAGCACTAAGACAGCACACAAGCAGAAGAGAGTATAATGCTGTGAGAGATTTAAAGCCAAAATATGTAGTAAATTCACATCGCCGCCATAGGCTCAGAACACAGTTTGGTGTATTAAGTCTCTGCCATTACATTTAACCACCTCTTTTGTATCTTACTCCATCTTTCCTCCAAAGTTCTTACTTCCCACACTGTCTTTATTAGGCCACTTGGGCCAGGGCCATCATCAGCGCTACAGATTTGTTGGAGCAATTTATAATGTGTAAATGACTCTGTTTGCACCGGGCACCAACCTTTCCGATGGTTTTGTCAGGCAGGGTATTATGACTGCCGACGCTGAGTAATAATTCGTTTTGTTAGCAGTGTATATACTCAATTCCATCCTCCCATATTAGCAATAAAAATTCTGTTCTAACCAAGCGAAGAACTCGCTCACACCATACACAAAAAATAAAAGTGTGGATTAAAGATTAAACATAGGGAAAAATAATAAAAGCTCACTAATAAATAGACAAATATATTTTTATGATAGTGGGGTACGAAAGGCCTTTCAGGAGCCCTGGTGGCACAGTGGTTAAGAGCTATGGCTGCTAACCTACAGGCCTGCAGTTGGAATCCACCAGCCGCTCCTCAGAAACCCTATGGGGCAGTTCTACTCTGTCCTATAGGGTGGCTATGAGTCGGAATTGACTCAATGGTAATGAGTTACGGCCTTTCAAAGCATGACAAAAAAAAAACACCTCACAGCTTAAAGGGAAAAGCTGAATAAACTTAACTAAAAATAAAACAAATACAAATAAAAATCTACTGTAGAAAACTATAACAAATCATACGTACCATTAATACAGATAAATGGCACATAAATAGGAAAAATGGGCAAAAGTTAATAAAGTAAATTCACAGAAAAATTGCCAGTTATAACATATAAACATGTCCAACCTCTGTAACGATCAAAGAAGTGCTAATTCAAGTGAGATTATTTTCATATTATATTGTTAAAGATGTAAAAATTTGATAATTCCCACCTTCGGCAAAATAAACGGGCACCTTCATATACTATAGGTGGGAGCACAAGGTTTCTGATCTTTTCAGAGGGCAATTTGGCTCCTAGATTAACCAGGTATCCCTCCTCTCATCATGAAAGTCAAGAAAACTCTTAAGTCTCTCCCACGACCCTTGGTCGTGGCCAGGACGATTCTCTATAGGATCTCTGCTCCCTTATTATTGTCACTATCACTATCCAAGAGACCAATCCCCAAACATGTTAACTGTCAAGAACAACTTAGTATCAGCTATGGTGAAGTCCCTGTCGTTTCTTATTCTCTGATCTCCAAATAACCCATCTGACAGGCTAAATCCTGGAATGGTTGGTGGTGGAGTGATCTTTTATAATTCAACTCATTTAGATGGGGCTATCTTGATGGAGTTATGCTAAAAAAAATAGATAAGCTACACATGTATTCAACAATCTTCAAGGGCTATTCTCAAGTTTATGGATGAGGCAGTTAGTTGTTCAACCCTTAACTTTTACCGGAAAAATTAACTAATCCATATTATGTAGTATAGACATCTTGACCCCCAATCACGGTTAGGTAGACCCAGCTTCATGGTAAGGAAGATGTGTGGCCCTGCCTCCAGACATCTTTGCAGCTGGCTCACACCTGGGCAGAAAAGAAGCTCTACGTCTACTTTCTGTAAGGAATCAGCATGGGCCTCTTGTCCACGTAGTCAGCTGTGAATGTAGTAATACCTAGCCCTTGCTAATATGTAAGAAAGCCTTACTATAGTCACAGTGACTATCTGCTTCTCTGGATTGTCCACGCACGTTGTTAGATCAGTAAAGTAACGGACAAGTTCAAAGCCATGATGCAGCTTTGTCATTGTTTGTTAGCTTTGTCACTGGTTGATAAACAGTGTCTTTAATTGTAGTAGCAGTAAGTTTTATAAATATTGAATGTTTATTACCCAAAATTAAGCTTCTTACCAGGAAGGTTATGCTCTTAAAAAAAAAGATTTAGAACTTATCACCCAGTGTTTTTCCTTTTGGGCTCTACTGCTTACAACCCTCAAAACTCAGCTAGCTAATAGTAGCATGCACTGTACCTAACAGTGTTCGTTTTCTGTCCCTTTTAAATGATCTTTATACTTCTGTATGTTGTATTTACTACAACAAACTATCTCAAATTCTTTTTGAGAAATAGGCAGGTTGTTATCTATTATTTAATTTTAAAATAATGTTTCCCAACTCTCATTTTGGCACCCCTCAACATCAGACAGACATCCCTGCGTGGTGCAAGCAGTTATACACTCAGTTGCTAACTAAAAGGATGGTGGTTCGAGTCCACCAGAAGCCCTTGGTAGAAAGCCTTGATGATCTACTTCCCAAAATATCAGACATTGAAAACCCTGTGGAGATTATCTCTATTCACGGATGACATGATCCTATCTATACAAAACCCCAAAGAGTCCTCAAGAAAACTTCTAGAACTAATATAGGCATTTAGCAAAGTTGCAGGGTACAAGCTCAACAAACAAATATCGTTTGGGATCTATACACCAGCAATGAGAAATCTGAAAGGGAAATTAGGGAAATGATTCCATTTATAATAGCATCTAACAGGATAAAATACCTAGGAATAAATTTAATCAGGGATGTGAAGGATTTATACCATGAAAATTACAAAACATTGCTGAAAGAGATTAAAAAAGATTTAAATAAATGGAAAGATGTTCCACGTTCATGGATTGGAAGACTTAATTTTGTTAAGATATCAATACTACCCAAAGCGATTTATAGATTTAACACAATCCTGATCAAAATTCCAACAGCCTTCTTTACAGAAATGGAAAAACTAATCCTCAACTTTATATGGAATGGTTAAGAGGCCATAAGAGGCCCTGAGTAGCTAAAGCAATGTTGAAAGAGAAGAACAAAGTAGGAGGACTCACACTTCCTGATTTTAAAACACATTAAACAGCTACAGTAATCAAAACAGCCTGGTAGTGGTATAATAATAGACACATAGATCAATGGAATAGAATTGAGAGTCCTGAAATAAACTCACCCATCTATAGCCAACTGATTTTTGAGAAGGGTGCTAAGTCCATTCAATGGGTAAAAATTAGTCTCTTCAATAAAGGGTGTTGGGAAGACTGGATTTCCACATGCAGAAAAATGAAACAGGATCCATGTATCACACCATACACAAAAACAAATTTAAAATGGATTAAGGACCTAAATGTGTGAACCAAAACCATAAAATTCTTAGAAGAAAATGCAGGGGCAACACTGTAATGCCTAGCTTTTAACAATGGATATCTAATACAATAACAAAAGCACAAAGAGCAAAAGACAAAAATAAATAAATGGGACATCATAAAAAGTAAACACTTTTGATCATCAAAAGACTTTACCAACAAAGTGAAAAGATAACCTGATTGGGAGTATATGTTCGAAAAGGATATATCCCATAAGAATCTAATAAGAAAAACATATGCAAAACTTCGACAACTTAGCAACAAAAAGGCAACCCAATCTTAAAATTGGCAAAGGACTTGAATAGACATTTCACCAAAGGGGACATTCAAACGGCCACCAAACACATGAAAAGATGGTCAGCATCTGTCATGGATTGAATTGTGTCCCCCGAAAATATCTATCAGCTTGGCTAGGCCATGATTCCCAGTATTGTATGACTGTCTACCATTTTGCCATCTGATGTAATTTCCCTATGTGTTGTAAATCCTATCTCTATGATGTTAATGAGATAGGATTAGCGGCAGTTATGTAGACTCAATCTACAAGATTAATCTACAACTTAAGCCAATCTCTTTTAAGATATAAAAGAAAGAAGCAAGCAGAGAGATGGGAGACCTCATACCACTAAGAAAGTAGCACTGGGAGCAGAGCGCATCCTTTGAACCCGGGGTCCCTGTGCTGAGAAGCTCCTAGACCGGGGAAGACTGATGACAAGGACCTTCCTCCAGAGCCAACAGAGACCAGGGAAAGATTGATGACGAGGACCTTCCTCCAGAGCCGAGCCAACAGAGAGAGAAAGCCTTCCACTGGAGCTGACACCCTGAATTTGGACCTCTAGCCTCCTAAACTGTGAGAGAATAAATTTCCCTTTGTTCGAGCCATTCACTTGTGGTATTTCTTGTTATAGTAGCACTAGATGACTAAGACAGCTTCATTAGCCACCAGAGAGACGCAAATGAAAACCACAATGGGATACTATTTCACTCCTACTAGGCTGGCTAAGATAAAAAACCCCAGAAAATAACAAATGTTGGTGAGGATGTGAGGAAAGTGGAACACTTACACATTGCTGGTGGGAAAGCAAAATGGTAGAGCCATTGTGGAAAACAATATGGCAGTTCCTCAAAAAAACTAAAAGTAGCATTACCATATGATCCAGCAATTTCATCCCTAGGTATATACCCAAAAGACTTGAAAGCAGAGACTCAAACAGAGACTTGTACGCCAATGTTCATTGCAGCACTATTCACAATAGCCAAAAGGTAGCAACAACCTAAATGCCCATTAACAAACGGATGAATGGGTAAAGAAAATGTGCTACATACATATAATGTAACACTACACAGCCAGTAAGAGAAATGAAGTCTTGATACATGCTACAATATGGATAGAGCTTGAAGACATTATGCTGAGTAAAATAAGTCAATCACTAAAGGACAAATACTGTAAGACCTGACTTAGACAAGAACAGGCAAATGTATAGCAACCAAAGTTTATTAGTGGTTATCTGGGATGGCAGGGAGGGGGGAAAAGGGAGGTTACTGCTTATGGTGATGGAACAAATACATCGATTAACGGTAGGGTTGCACAGCTGGTTAATGTAATTGCTGTCAATAAGTTGTACACATGTAAAAAGTTGAACTGGTAAAAGTTGTGTGATGGATATATTTACAATGACAAATGAGCAAAACAAAAACAAAAAGTAGTTGCTGAGGCTGCTTACGTACAACCAAATACCTCATGGGATTTGGTTCCTTGGTTTGGAGGTTGAGGGTCATGGTTTCATAGAACATCCCAATTAACTGGCCTAATAACGTGTCTAGTGCTTCTATTCTACCTCCTAGTTTGTTGCGTAGTGCCTGAGGGTCTTAAAAGCTTGTAAGTGGCCATCCAAGGCACAATTGGTCTCTATTCACTGGGAGTAACAGAGGGAAGAAGGAGAGTCAGGAATAGGAGGAGATGGAATGTGTGGCTAATCGCCTCTATGAACAACTGCCTCCTATGCCAAGAGACCAGAAGAACTGGATGGTGCCCGGCTACCATTACTGAACGTTTTGATCAAAGATTCTATAGAAGAATCTTGATCAAAAAAGGGAAACGTAGAACAGAATTTCAAATTCTCATGGAATCCAGTGTTTCTGGAGCAACGAAGGCTGGAGGGACACCCGAAAAAATTAAAACTCTTTAAACCTCAAACCAAAAATATCCCCTGAAGTCTTCTTAAAATCAAATAATAGTCTAGCTTAACTAGTAAAGAATGTCTGCCTTGAGCATTGTGCTCTTAAGATCTATCTGTATGGGGTCAAATTGACAAGAGCAACTTGAAAGACTAGGTAGGAACCTTAGAGGGCTGTGAGTTTATGTTATTGGGGGCGGAACAACCCAGAAAAGGAGGGTGAGAATGGCTGCACTACTTGAAGAATGTAATCAATGTCATTGAATTGTACATGTAGAAACTGTTGAATTGGTGTCTGTTCTGCTGTGTATATTCTCAACAACAATAACAAAAATAAATTATAAAAGAAAACCCTATATAGTTCTACTCTGACATACATCGTTGGAATTGAGTCAATCGCAACTGGAACACCAGATAGTGTGTAAGACAATAACATCAACTTTCTAGGGAGCTATCAACTCACTATTCTGCTAATTCAACCTCCAGATTGATTTCTTCACCTTCTCTTACTTTAAGATGCATTGAGTCCACCAGGACCTGGACTGCAGGCTCCCCCAGGGAACTCAGTTACCATAGGAAGCCTTGAAACTAGCCACTGTTAATCACCCCCTTTTCTTCTTTAGTGAGAGATGGGAAAGAAGAAGGCTTCAGTCATAAGTTAGTCCATCCTCAACAAAAGTAATAGGCAAAGCGTCTGAATACGTAAAACAGAACAGCTTACTGCTGCTTTGGAATTATTTCTTCATTCTAAGGATTCAGTTTTATTTGGAGGGTTTTGAAAATTCTCAGAGTTGGGGAAAGCAATTTTAAGATAATAAAGATGTTAAACCCAAACAAATCCACTCCATAGGTAGAACAATAGAAAGTCGGCTCTATTAATCATGGTGTATACACAATTTCAACATTCAAATCAAATTGTTTAGTCTCATTAAGAACACAATTTGTCAACATACCTTCAGTTCATTAAGTGAATTGCTGTGCTCTTCAAAATGTTTTCTTTTTCTCTCAATATATTGATCTATGGACTCCATTTTCTTAAAATGAGCCTCATGAAGCTTCTTAAAGTCTAGAATGTTCCCCAAAATATGAAAATTAATAACAAGACAAAATCCATTTAGTCACCTTCCCTGTTTTTTTTTCCTGCTAATACTTCTCTGCATTGCTGACATTCAGCTTCACTATCATCTTTGCTAAAACCTTACTTTCAAAACACTAAGTTTTTGGAAACTCAAAGGCAAAGCATATTCATCTTACGGAAAACCAAACACCCATCATCTCCCCATTGCTCATTTCAGTGTGAGCTAACATCTTGATTTAGACCAGAAGATAAGAAAGGAGTAGCAGATTTACCCTCTCGCCTCACCAATTAATTAATTGGCCTTTGATATATTCATAATAAATTTGTTGTTTTATTACGTTTAGGAAGATTTATACCCGAGATTGGCAAACCTTCTCTGTAAAGAACAAGATAGTAAATATTTTAGGCCTTGCAGCCATGTAAAGTCTCTGTCATATTCTTCTTCCTTTTTTTTTTTTTTTTAAATTCTTTACAAATGTACAAATCATTCTAAACTTAGAGGCTATACAAAACAAGGCAAGGCAATCTGTAGTTTGCTCACCCCTGCTCTGTGCTATTCTAATTTAGTATCTGACATTTACTGAGTTTGTAATATATGTGGAGCAGCGTTCTAAAAACTACAAATACACAGCACTCCATCAATAACCTATTTGCTAAGCAATGTGCTAGTGAGACTAGATAGACAACAATTACACATCCAGAACCGGAGTCCTTAGACTTACTAGAAGCTTAGTCCAACATGGGCATGGTGCCATGTACTTTCTAGACATTCATTCATCATATTTATTGAATACCTGTTATGTGCTAGCTGCTGTGCTAGGTAATCAGTGGGGAAAACGATATCCTCTGTTAATCTGCACATATCAACTTGATGAAATAGGTAGTGTAATCATTCCCACTTTCCACTGAGGAAGCGGGTTTATCAAGGATAAGTTACCCAAGGCCTCCAAGCTAGAAAGTGAGGGAGCCGGGATGCAAGCACTGAGGCCTAAGGTCTACCCTGCCTCTCCCCCTGAATCTTGTGAGCCAGCCATTACCTTAGGTTTCTTTGTGGACAACACTTACTTGGAGTAGTGCTTCCAGTTTTATTATTTTTTCCAGCTTTTAAAAAAGCATCTGTGCAGAGATATTTCTTTCTTTCTGAAGGTATCTTTGAATCTTCATTACCTAAATCCAGACACAGAACTAATGAAGGATTTCAAACGACGTCTTCCTATTAAAAAATTTCTGTCAGGGCATTTTCACGTAAGATTCTGCCGAGGTGGTGGCAGACATGGTACGAAAGGGGCACAGAGAGCGCATTATAACACCACTACAAGTTTAGCTCATGTGCTTCAAGCAGGTGAAGGAATATGCTTTCTGTATAGAAGTTATATAAATATACCAATAATACTAAAAAAAAAAAAAAATTAGATTGTTTAAAATGAATTTATGTCATTATACCCAAACTCCCGAGGGACTGAATTAGTGGGATTGGGGCTGTGGGAACCATGGTCTTGGGGAACATCTAGCTCAACTGGCATAACGCAGTTTATAAAGAAAATGTTTTACATTCTACTTTGGTGAGCAGCATCTGGGGTCTCAAAAGCCTGTGAACGGCCATCTAAGATACTCCACTGGTCTCACCCCTTCGGGAACAAGGGAAAATGAAGAAAAGTAAAGACACAAGGGAAAGATTAGTCCAAAGGACTAGTGGACCACAGCTACCACAGCCTCCACCAGACTGAGCCCAGCACAACTAGATGGTGCCCGGCTTCCACCACTGACTGCTCTGACAGGGATCACAATAGAGGGTCCCAGACAGAGCTGGAGAAAAATGTAGAACAAAATTCTAACTCACAAAAAAAGACCAGACTTACTAGCCTGACAGAGACTGGAGAAACCCCAAGAGTATGGCCCTCGGACACCCTTTTAGCTCAGTAATGAAGTCACTCCCGAGGTTCACACTTCAGCTAAAGATTAGACAGGTCCATAAAACAAAACGAGACTAAAGGGGTACACCAGCCCAGGGGCAAGGACTAGAAGGCAGGAGGGGACAGGAAAGCAGGTAATAGGGAATCCAAGGTGGAGAAGGGAGAGTGTTGACATGTCGTGGGGTTGTTAACCAATGTCATAAAACAATACGTATACTAACTGTTTAATGAGAAGCTAGTTCGTTCTGTAAACCTTCATCTAAAATACAATTAACTGGGATGATGAAATCACACAAACCCACCAGCCTCCAAATCACCACCAGCACGTTGGCATTTTTCCTCTGGCTCCCAACTCCTGTACTTATTTTGGTTTTATTTTTCAGAAATCTAGTTGAAATCATGGTGGATATAAGATTTGGTATTTTCCCCCACTCATCACAATCACTTTCCACATTCCTATATCTTCTCCAACTTGAAGCAATCTACTAGAAACTATGTCATCCTTAAGGTTCTCCCGTGCATCCCTAAAACAAGGCAACAGATGCTTCGAGAGAGCTGGGGGGCTGCAGGGGCTCCTGCTTGGATCTTGGCTCTAAAGCCAGAGAAGGAACACTGGGTGAGAAACAAGACGTTGACAGTCAGAGTACTCCTCACAAGATACTTATTCATTACAAGCGGAAGAGTAACTTTACAGAGGACAGGCTAGGCAGACAGCACCATAGCCAAGTGACAGAGTTACCACCACCAGCAATGGGTCAAATCGACACCCGTGTCTGTGGCATGCTGCACAAGGACACAGGACCACTTCTGTGGGATTCCTGCCAAAGTGCATAATCTGAATCTAATCAGGAAGAAACATTAAAACAACCAAGCCATGGGACAAAATAACTGGTCTGCATTTAAAAATGTCAAGGTCATGAACGACAATGACAGACTGAGGAACTTGTTCCAAATTAGACTAAAGAGATATGACTATGCAAAGGCAAAGTATGATCCCAGATTTGTCTTTCCTTCAGAGGACATTACTGGGACAGGAAGGTCTATAAATTAGATTAGCAGTCCTCACACTCTCTAGTCTCAAGAATCCTTTCTACTCTTGAAAATTATTTGTCTCTGGAGTCATCCAGAACAGGCTGATAAAAGGAAATGAGTGGGCCTGGCTCTTCCCAAGTAGAGATCAACTTTCCAACAAGCACTCTTATTCTGGTTTCTGCACCAAGTTACTAAAGATGACCTGATGGGCGAATGTATTTGATTCTAACTTTGTCAACTGCAGAGCTCGGACTTTCAAGGTTACACAGCATACCATTAATTCTGCTTTCTTCCATGGAATCTGCATTCTCATCTCCTTGGCTCTCATCTGGTGGAGTAGGAGCTTCTCCAGCAGTTTTGAGATCCTGGTTTTCTGGCTGCTCCTGATTCTGGAATTCAGTGAGATCGCTCATCTTCCGTTCTGAATGATCCTGCTACAAAATTGAAGGGAAATAAAGGATTTAAATGAGGTACCAAATTGGTGGTGGTGGGGGGAATGGCTAAAAGAGTTTAAGTAGGAGGATGAAATGTTTTAGATTTTAGGTTCTTACCAAGTGTCTTACCAAGTGTCACAAGAATGTGAAATTTGGGAACAGGAGATGCTGGGGACACTGGATAATCTAATGACCAAGGGACTATATGAAGCTAGAAAGTGAAAAATTCAGGATCATGTCTTGTAAAAGTAACATTTGAATAAAAGGATAAAATAGAAGAATAGAATCAGAGCTCACTGGAAGCAAGGGAGCGAAGCCCCTGGCTAATCCCATAACCATACTGTTTACTGATCACCAGGACTGGGGCAAGTTAGGAAAGAGGAAGAAAAAAAATGGCATTCAATCTTGGTAACTCTTTCCTTTTTATTTGCTGCACCTCATCTAAGTGAACGCTTAATGAACTTCCGTATATTCAGCAAACCGAGTGCTTCCCGATCGCCAGGCCCTGCGGGTGCGGTGATGAGCGACACAGACATGAGTTGTCTATGCCTTCAGGGAGCTCACAGCGCGTGGAGCCTCCCAACCTCAGGGAGTCACACGGCGCCGCTCTCTTGGGGGCTGCAACATGGAGGTGAAGGGGGAGCTGTACACTACCAAACCCTAGGCGGGCTCAGCGTCTGGCGTGTGAGGGCCACCAGCACCACCATGGACGACACACGGTGAAGGGCCAAGCCGAGGGGGCCTTCTACGCACTCCAGGACTCACTCCCACAAGCCAAGTTCATCTGGCAAACCCAGTACACAGTTACTGATAGTGCAACGTGCCAACTAGCAACTTTAAAAAAGCTTTAAAAAAAAAACAAAAAACACTTAACTAATTATTAGGGGTTCTTTTCTATCTTTTTTTATTGGATGGGGGGCAGAGGTAGGGGTAGGGGAAAAACACAAAAGCAGGGAAGAAGACAGTATATTGTTTTTATTTGTAAATAATCCACCTCAGAAGTTCTTAAGCTGGAGTTCATGAATCATGAAATCACCTGCAGAATTCTGTCTGTGCGCCCAGGTGTTCTGCCAGCAGAGATGAGTAGGGTCGCTGATCTATATATGAGTAACTATGTTGATGGCCATGAAGATTTTTATAATAGACGGTAGTCCTTCTGAACATTTGTATTAATAGGCGACTCTCATTTACAACTATCTCATATCATAAGAGAATTCAGAAAGAAAACTCCCTAAGAGTACACCAATTTTGGCCCAAGCGGTGGCATATTTTCATTTGCACACTTCCGTTCACCTGGGAGTCAGGGATCCCCTGGACTGTCCTACGCCTTCTCCGCGATTTGGTGATGTAGCTGCCGGTCTTCCTCTCAGCGTGGTCCTGCTCTCTAACCTGTATCTCGCTCTCATCACAAGAGGATGCACAAGTCTGACTTCCATCCTGGAGAGGGAGACATTCATCTGCCGTTTCCTATGTACAGAGTTATAATGCTCAGGAAGAATTGGAATTTAAATGGAACAAAATAAAATAAACCATACTCCATATCTAAAGGATCATTTTAAAACTCTCTAGCACTAAATCATAGGCAAAGACAAGAATTACACAATATTTAAAAAGAAACAATCACATTTAATAACCTGAGCTTAGAAACTGGGCATTGAACGTTAATTTAGTGTGATCAGCTAAGTAAATTATTAAGTGTATTAATTTATTAAATATACACTATGTGCCAGGTACTAGGCAATAAACTAATAATAATTAGAGCAAATATTACACATTTACTGGGCAAAATATTTACATGAATTATCTCATTCCTCAAAATCTATGAAGCTGGCACTAGTTTTTTTTTAATCTTTGTTTTTATCTTTGTTGCCCTTTAGTTGAAGGTTTACAGAACAAATTAGTTTCTCATTAAACAATAAATACACATATTGTTTTTTGACATTGGTTGCTAACCCCATGACGTGTCAACACTCTCCCTTCTCAACCTTAGGTTCCCTATTACCAGCTTTCCTGTCCCCTCCTGCCTTTTAGTCCTTGCCCCGGGTTGATGTGTCCATTTAGTCTCGTTTTGTTTTAAAGGCCTATCTAATCTTTGGCTGAAGGGTGAACCTCAGGAGTGACTTCAGTACTGAGTTAAAGGGGTGTCCGGGGACCATACTCTCAGGATTTCTCCAGTCTCTGTTGGGCCAGTAAGTCTGGTCTTTTTTTGTGAGTTAGAATTTTGTTCTCATCCTTCTCCAGCTCTGTCCAGGACCCTCTGTTGTGATCCCTGTCAGAGTAGTCGGTGGTGGGAGCCGGGCACCATCTAGCTGTGCTGGACTCAGTCTGGTGGACGCTGTGGTAGTTGTGGTCCGTTAGTCCTTTGGACTCATCTTTCCCTTATGTCTTTCTTTGGTTTTCTTCATTCTCCCTTGCTCCAGAAGGGGTGGGACCAGTGGAGTATCTTAGATGGCCACTCACTAGCTTTTAAGATCCTGGACGCTACTCACCAAATAGAATATAGAACATATTCTTTATAAACTATGTTATGCCAATTGAGGTAAATGTTCCCCAAGACTATGGTCCCCACAGCTCTCACCCTTGTAATTTGGTCCCTCAGAGAGTCTGGATGTCCCACAATTGATTTTTATCTCCTTATCTTGTTTTCCATTTCTTCATAGTGCTTAGCACCACCTGGGTAGGAAGAGCCTCAGACTGCACTGTAACTCTTAGTTCTGCCAGATCAAAGTGGAATCTCTGAGCAAAAGGTGCCCATTAAGGAATCAGGCACCGGGCAGAATTGGCTCTGCTGCAGTATCCACGCTGGGTTAAGTCACTGCCTGAAAGAGCCCAGAGAAACATGGCCTTGGGGCTATGCTCTCCTCAGTAGGTTCTCTTAAAGGGACATCTAAGCAGCATATCCCAATGGTCAACAAATTTATATTATCTACCTTTATTATTTCTCAAAGGATAGAACCAAATCTTCTAAACCCTCCTTTTGCCTGGACTTCCCTCCCTCCTGGAGGTCTGTCCTCTCTTTCCAGTGTCAGTTGATTGCTCTCCAAGACCAGCTACCTAGCCGTCTTCATGGGACATCCCCTCAGTACTCTACGGAGCCCAGGCCTGTCTCTTTCTTAGTTGCTTCTTTTCATTTTGCCAGAGCACAAGGTCTTTCCTAAGAAAGTTTGCAGGTAGAAAGTTTTCAAATCCTTGCCTGTCTAAAAATTCTCCCCTTACACTTGTTGATAGTTTGGATGTGTATATGTTTCTAGGTAGAAAATAAATTCATCCCATGCACTGTAACCACGGTGTGTTACTCTGGGAGGCTGAGAGCGATCAGCAAGGACTGTGTTCATTCGTGAATGTACCATGTTGTACCCTATAACACACTTGTCTAAATCTAAGACTGAAGAGGCACACCTGGTTCAGATGAAGGAGTCCCCAACACACAGCCAGACCAACCTATATAGAGAGTTGTTCCAGACTCATGTATTTAAGGCTGGATCTACAGTGGGAGAACTAGGCTTCCAGAAAATGTGATTTCACCCTCATTCACTCAAATGTAATCCCCAAGTGTGTACTGGCCAGGTGATGATTTTAGGGTCTGGAAGCTTACACTTCTGTCTGTCCTTGGTAAGTAACATTAACGATCTCCTTGTCATGTATCTGGACTATACTGACTTGCTTCCATATCCTTAGACAGATAAGCTCTCTTTGATTTACCCAAGGGTCTATCTGTGACAGGGCTTTCCGTCAATTTAGGCTCACTTTCGACAGATTCGCCACTTAGAAATCCTATATCTGACTGAATTTTTTTTTTTTTTAATTTTATTGTGGTAAAATCTATATAACAAAATTCTTGCCATTTTAACCATTCTTTAATGCAGAATTAGTGACATTAATTACAGTCACCACATTGTGCAACCATTATCACTGTCTCTTTTCAAAAGTTTTTTATCACCCCAAATACAAACGCAGGTACCCCTTAAACAATAGTTCCCCATCTGATGGATTTTGATTATTATCCTGCTCTTATGAAATTTTTCCAAAACAGAATGGCCCCTCAGATGATGAATTTGAAATAAGACAGGCATTTTTAATTGGGCCAACAATTACTAACCCAAATGGAGATTTTGATGTCAGATGGCACTACAATTTAATCAGGTATCCTTAACAACTTACAACAAAAAGATGGCTAGTACACCACTGTTCACGGCAGCACTATCCACGAGAGCCAAAGGTGGGAACAACCTAAATGTCCATCAACAGAAAAATGGATAAACACAATGTGGTGCCTACGTACAATGGAATAGCCGTCAGCCATAAAGAGAATGAAGTTCTGATACATGCCGCAACATGGATCAACCTTGAAAACAATATGCTGAATTAAATAATTCAGACACAAAGGAGAAACATTGCCTGATCTCACGTACATGAAACATCTACAATGGGCAAAGGCATAGAGACCAAAGTTCTATCAGTGGTTACCAAGGGTGGGAGGGAGAGGGATAGGGAGAGTTATTGTTTAGGAAGCAATGGGAGATCTGGCAGCGATTATTGGTGATTGTTGCACAGCATGATCAATGTGACTGATGTCATTGGGTTATATATGTGAAAAGCATTGAACTGGCAAACGTGTTACATATATCTTTACAAGAACAACCAAAACACCAGATAACTATGTAGTTGATGTAGAAACTTTCAAAGCTAATTCTTTTTTGGGGGGGACCCCGACACACAGCCCTAACCCATTTGACTCTCACAACACTGAAGTCAGCAAAGCCGACATCACTTCTGTTTTAAAGAAGAGAAAACCAGGACTCAAAGGGTTTGAGATTTCAAGGGTCACATAGGAAGAAATGACAGGGTAGTACTGAACCTGCTTCTTTCTGACTTCAAACCCAGTTCCCTCCCTACTCACATCATCCAATTGCTAATAAAATCTGGCAACCAGTAATTAACCTTCGCATTTGTATAAGAACATCTCTTTCAACAGATTACTTGATACAAGGCAGTTTTGCTGTTCAGAAGAAATCATTATTATGAAAGGATTCGGTCTCTGGCACTGTTACTATCGATGATCTCTTTGGTAAATAAACAACATGTCTTAAGTCATCCCCAGTTATGTTTATCACTCAATAACTAACTATGATAGTTTTGCTATTTAATAGATGATGAGAAATGTTACTCACCTGATTCTCATTTTCTCTTCTTGCTTCCTGTTTAAGGTGAGCTTTCAAGGCTTTTAACAACTTGTCTGCCTGCAGGAAAGTTAAAGACCTTATCATTAGTGCAAAAAAAACATATAAGCAAGGAAGGTACTTTGAACATTTTTTCCTGTTGTATTCATAAAATATACTCTCGTCAGGATCTGGGAATATAATGCCAACAGAGATAGAACCAGTCCTGCCATCATGGAATTCACAGCAGAGTAGGGATAGACAGACAAGGAATGAAGCACTTCTTTATCTCAGAACTGGCATACAGTGGGGTAAGTGCCAAGATGAGGAAGTTGAGGGTGTTGTGAGAGGACACTGGTGGACTGGGCCACCCAAGTTTAGACCACTAGGGAGACTTCAGCAGGGAATCGGAGACGCCAGTTCTAAGATGAAGAAGTGTCGTTTCTAGCTGCTGAGATCTGAAGGATGAAGGGGACAGAGACATAGGAGAAAGGGTAGAGAAAATAGCATGGGCAAAGGCAAGAACGAGCATAGACTCTGAAGAACTAAAGGAGTTCCATGTGGCTAAAGCATGGAGCTGTTGGAAGGGAAGGTAAGAGATAAAGTTGGAAAAGTAGGGGTCTGATCTTGCCAGGCCCCTGTCAGCCCCTTGAGTATGAACTTTACCCTAAGGACAATGGGTAGGTTCTGAAGAGCTTGCAGCAGGGTGATGGTTGACCAATTTTGCATTTTAGAAAGATCACTCTGGCTCCAAAACGTGCAGGATGCATTTGATGGGGAGTAAGGTAGAAGACAGGGAAACAGCTAGGAGGCTGTTGCAGGAAACCAAAGTTGATGATTGTGGCTGAACTAGAGCAGGGTGAAGGCAGTGTGGATGGAGAGCAGTGTATGGATTCAAAACCTTCTTAGGAAGTGTCTTAGTCATCTAGTGCTGCCATAACAGAAATACCACAAGTGGATGGCTTTAACAAAGAGAAATGTATTTCCTCATAGTAAAGTAGGCTAGAAGTCCAAATTCAAGGTGTCAGCTCCAGGGGAAGGCTTTCTCTCTCTGTCAGCTCTGGAGGAAGGTCCTTTTCATCAATCCTCCCCTGGACTAGGAGCTTCTCTGCACAGGAACCTCAGGTCCAAAGGATGCGCTCTGCTCTTGGCACTGCTTTCTTGGTGGTATGAGGTCTCCCTGTCTCTCTGCTCACTTCTCTGTTTTATATCTCAAAACAGATTGCTTCAAGACACAATCCAACCTTGTAGATTGAGTCCTGCCTCACTAACACAACTGCCTCCTATCCCAACTCATTAACATCATAGAAGTAAGAGTTATAGCACATAAGAAAATCACATCAGATGACAAAACAGTGAACAATCACACAATACTGGGACTCATGGCCTAGCCAAATTGATACACACATTTTTGGGGGACACAATTCAATCCATGACAGTCATGTTTTCCTCTTCTTCAAAAGGTCAGGCATATTGGTTGGGCTCTTTTCCTCCTCTTCCTCCCAGCCATGCTGTTGAGGGTCAGAAATTACCTTTTCAAGGTGGGTCCAGCCACCCACCTCACCTCTCCTCTTCTCACATCATTTATCCTCAGTCATATGTCCAGTTGACAAGGGCAGAGTTCCTGAAATCTGCTCTGGGTCTAAGGAACAGAACAGACTTTGTCTACGGCTTGAGCTTAAGGCACAGTGAGTCCAGCCCAGTTTCCCGCAGTCCTTTTCATCAAGATCTCAGATACCATTTCAGCTAATAATAAAGTGGTACCTTATTTTCTACTTGCAATTGTTTTCTGAACCTCTTTTGGGGTCTTCTCTGGGAAGGGGGTGATTGGCAGGGCAGAATCCAAGCATTTTTGGTTTTTCTGACTCTAATACCTTCTTAACACCATCAAACTTCACCAAACATCCAACAATGATGAAATGAGGTGCTTGTGGCAGAGCCAACTGAGGACACTGAGTAGGCCAAATGACATGGCGTTGATCCTCCAGAGAGCTGGAGGTAGAGATGTGTTAGTTATCAGCACAAATTTATGCATTCCTCCGACAAGTATTTATTACGCTGGGCACTGTTCCAGGCACTGCAGAGAAAGTGATAAACAAAATACACAGGGCTCTGCCCTCAAGGAGCTTCTAGTAAGGGATCAACAGGGGAAACAGCCCATTAGCAAAGTAAGCAATGAAGCAAAAATAAAACTGAGTTACTGGGGCAGGGAGTGGGGTGCTCCTTGGGCTAGGATGATCAGGAAAGGTCACTCAGTTGTGGTCACTTTCTTTTTTAATTGTGGTGAAAATATGAATTACAAAACATACACCATCTCAATAATTCCTACCTGTACAATTCAGTGACGCTGACTACATTCTTCAAGTTATGCAACCATTCTCACCTCCTTGTCCAAATCATTCCACCACTATTAACATAAACCCAGTGAGATATGGTGACGAGGCAGCAGGTGAAGGTGTGGGGAAGAGCACCAAGCCCAGAGGCACCGAGGTGGGCTAGAAAGAAGACAATGTGGCTGAAGCGTGGTGAACACTGGGCCAAGTAGAGGGCAGAGAGATCAGAGAGGTGATCACAGGCTGGGTAGAGAATTACAGGCCATAGTAAAGAATCTGGATTTCTGCCTCCTTTCTATTATAAAAAAATTTCAAGCCTATATAGGTCAAAATAATAACGTAATAAATACTCACCTACCCCCACCTAGATTTAAAAATCAATACTGTGTTGTTTTTGCTTTATATATGTACATATTTCTTGCTAACCCATTTGAAAGTAAGTTCCAGATATCATGATACTTTACCCCTAAATAACACTGGCTGTATCTCCTAGAAATAAGATATCCTCCTAGATAACCTCTATGGTATTATTGTACCTGCTGTTAGGTGTCGTCGAGTTGGTTACGACTCATAGCGACCCTACGTACAACAGAACGAAACACTGCCTGGTCCTGTGCCATCCTCACAATTGTTATGCTTGAGCCCATTGTTACAGCCACTGTGTCAATCCATCTCACTGAGGGTCTTCCTCTTTTTCACTGACCTCTACTTTACCAAGCATGATGTCCTTCTCCAGGGACTGGTCTCTCCTGATAATATGTCCAAAGTACATGAGACAAAGTCTCACCATCCTTGCTTCTAAGGAGCATTCTGGCTGTAATTCCTCTAAGACAAAAAAAAAAAAAAAAAAAAAAAAAACCTGTTGCCGTCAAGTCAATTCCGACTCATAGTGACCCCACAGGACAGAGTAGAACTGCCCCATAGTTTCCAAGGAGCGCCTGGTGGATTCGAACTGCTGACCTTTATTTTGGTTAGCAGCCATAGTTCTTAACCACTATGCCACCAGGGTTTCCACCTCCAAAACCGATTTGTTCGTTCTTCTGGTAGTCCATGGTATATTCAACATTCTTTGCCACATAATTCAAAGGCATCAATTTTTCTTCAGTCTTCCTGTTCATTGCCCAGTTTTCACAAGCATATGAGGTGATTGAAAATACAATGGCTTGGGTCAGGTGCACCTTAGTCCTCAAGGTGACATCTTTGCTTTTGAACACTTTAAAGATGTCTTTTGCAACAGATTTGCCCAACCCAATAATCGTTTGATTTCTTGACTGCTGCTTCCATGGGAATTCATTGTGGATCCAAGTAAAAGGAAATCCTCGACAACTTCAATATTTTCTTCGTTTATCAGGATGTTGCTTCTTGGTGCAGGTGTGAAGATTTTTGTTTTATTGATATTGAGGTGTAGTCCATACTGAAGGCTGTAGTCTTTTTTTTTTGACTCAACTTTATTTTGTTGTTGCTGTTGAGTACACAGCAAAATATACACCAATTCAACAGTTTCTACATGCACAATTTAGTGACATTGATTACATTGTTCAAGTTGTGCAACCATTCTAACCCTCCTTTTCTGAGTGGCTCCTCCCTCGTTAACATAAACTAACTCCCCTAAGGTTCCTATCTAATCTTTCCAAGTTGTTGTCAATTTAATCCCAAACAGACAGTTCTTAAAAGGGCATAATCCTTAAGGCAGAACTTTTTTACTAGTTAAGCTAAACTGTTGTTCGCTTTTAAGACGACTTCAAGGGATATTTTTGGTTTGAGGTTTAAAGATTATCTCAGGGCAATAGTTTCAGGGGTTCATCCACCCTCTGTGGCTCTAGAAAGTCTAGAAGCCATGAGAATTTGAAATTCTCTTCTGCCTTTTCCACCTTTTGATTAGGATTCTTCTATGGAATCTTTGATCAAAACATTCAGTCATGGTAGCCAAGCACCATCCAGTTCTTCTGGTCTCATGGCAATGGAGGCAGTTGTTCATGGGGGCAATTAGCCACACTTTCCATATCCTCCTCCTATTCCTAACCCTCCTTCATCCTCTGTTGCTCCAGGAGAATAGAGACCAATTGTGCCTTGGATGGCCACTTGCAAGCCTTTAAGACCCCACACAGTATGCAATGAACTATGAGGTAGAACAGAAGCACTAAACATGTTATTAGGCCAATTAACTGGAATATCCCATGAAACCATGACCCTAAACCTCCGAAATAAGGAACCAAATCCCATGAGGTGTTTGCCTGTACATAAGCAGCCTCAGCAACTACTCGTTTTTGGTCCTTGTAGTAAATATATCTAACACACAATTTTTTTTTTTATTGTTGTAGTCTAAATGAAGTTTACATTTCAAGTTAGTCTCCCATACAAAATTTTATACATACATTGTTATGTGACCCTAAATGCTCACCCCATTCTGCGACAGCACACTCCTCCTTTCCGTCCCTGATTCCCCATGTCCAATCAACCAGCTCCTAACCCTCTCTGCCTTCCCATCTCATCTCTGGACAGAAGCTGCCCCTTTGGTCTCTTTTATCTACTTGAGCTAAGAGGCACACGCCTCACGAGTATCACTTTATGTCCCACAGTCCAGTCTAATCCCTGTCTGAAGAGTTGGCCTCGGAAATTGTTTTAGTTCTGGGCTGATAGAGAATCCAGGGGCCACGCTTTCTGGGGTTCCTCCAGTCTCAGTCAGACCATTAAGTCTGGTCTTCTTACTAGTTCTACACCCCATCTTTCTCCTGCTCCATCAGGGAC